CCTTCACCCTCACCTCCACCTTCACCACCACCTCCACCTCCACCTCCACCTTCACCCTCACCTCCACCTTCACCTCCACCTTCACCTCCACCTTCACCTCCACCCTCACCCTCACCTCCACCTTCACATTCACCTCCACCTTGACGACCACCTTCACCTTCACCTCCACCTCCACCTTCACCTCCACCTTCACCTCCACCTTCACCCTCACCCTCACCTCCACCTTCACCTCCACCTTCACCCTCACCCTCACCTTCACCTCCACCTTCACCTCCACCTTCACCTCCACCTTCACCCTCACCCTCACCTCCACCTTCACCTCCACCTTCACCTCCACCCTCACCCTCACCCTCACCTCTACCTTTACCTCCACCTTCACCTCCACCTTCACCTAATTTCACCTAATCCTAATTTTATGTCATTTTAATGAGGAATTTTTGATGTCCTTATAAAGAGGAAACCTCAAATTATATTTGAATATTGAGATTTACCAGATAAAAAGAAACAAACTTTACTAACTCACAGGGAAAATCTCAACATTTTAAGTTTTTTTCCTTAAAATCAGTTTTTTGCTGCTACTGCTCAAACAACTGCTTCAAAATGTTTTATGATTATATTTCAGACAGTTCATTCAAATGATACATTAATAAGGCTTTTATTCAGTATATTTTGACAAAATGCAATTTTTGCAAATGTTTTAATCACAACAATATATTTGCCTGTTTCTCCACATCCCACCTTCAGACTTAATCTGGTTTCGATGTGACGGGTCACAGATATGCTTTAAAAGCTTTTTGTTGTGAAACTGGCAACAACAAAAAGCATCAAAATAAGTGTTTTTATTAAAGAGACTTCTTTATATTTTACCTCATTTCTGGAAAATATTACAAATCTGCTCTTTTATTAACAATTACAGGTATTTTCACAGCTCTAAATGTGATTAATGTGATTTTTTTTTTACTTTTTTCACCACAGAAAGTCTGAATATGAATCTACAGACAGGTGGTTTTAAGGAAATTTAAATTAAACTGGAAAATAAACTCCTGAAATAAAAGATTAATTTAAAGTTTTTCTCTCAGAGCTAACACTAATCAAATGGTAAAATTACCATTAATCATAATGTTTCTGTTCAAACAACAGTTTCACTGTTTGTCTCTAAACTCATCAGTTCTGTAAAAAACTACAAGTTTGACCAGAAATCATTGTGAAACTGCTCGGTGTAAATAAAACTTATTATAAATACAAACATTAAGTTTCTGTCACACAGCCAGCTGCTCAACTAACTCAACACGGAGTTAAAATAAGCTTTTCATCAACAAACTGTTTGTTTTTCAGGTTTTTAAAGTCAATTCAAACGTGTTGAATAAAGAAAATCACTTTGAAGTGAGAAATAAAACAAGTCAGATCTTTAACAACTAAAGATAATTCTGTTTAATTTACAAACTGTAGCATAAAACACGATGTTTTCCTACCTTTACTGAGACCTCCACATGTTTACGTCCGCAGCGTCAGATCTCTGCCGTAAAGCGGCCGCAGCTGCCGTAAACTGACGCGACTGCTGTAGTTCTGCTTCGAGCGTCACTGCCTGATCTGCTCTCCACGTGCTGCTCAGTTGGTGTAAACATATTTTAACAGTAAACACATTAAATTTACGTGTTTGTTGTTTATAAAATGCTCCTTCACAATAAAAGTCATGTCAGAATGCCAAATAAACAAAAGATCCAGTTTAAATTCACTTCAGATAAAAAACCGTGTTTAGCCTACATGTAACTATTAAATAAAAAATAAGGAAGCTAGGACTTAAGAAGCAGTTGATTGTCCTGAAGTTGAATTTTTATGTGTTCTGATTCAGATGAACTCTAAAAAACATTTGTTCTGAAATTGTTTCAAAAGTGATTGAAAGTCCATTTTGTTGCTTTGGATCCATTTAATCAACTCTAATGTAACAGATTTTACTGAAAACCAAGGTAAAATGTTTTATTTCAATTTTAATTAGCAGCAAAATTGATCAAATAGTCAAACTCAGCTGAAGAACAAACTAAAATAAAAACAAGACAGGAGACATCCACTTTCTTAGGATGTATTTAGTAGTAGTAGTAGTTTGTTAATTTTGTATTACAAATGAAATGAATAAAGTTCAAAAAACACAATCAAAATGAAATCAAATGAAATGAAAGGCAGCAGAAGAAGAATAAATCTTATATCTGCCCCTTTTTTATACCCAAAATATGTTCAAAAGAAAAGTAAAATACATGGAAGGTAACACACCTTTATGAGCTCTGCACATTAACAGTAAAATATTATAATCAACCAAATCATATAATTTTAATAATTTCAAATCATGAAACAATATATTAGATAGATTTATTGGTTAGTTAGAAAACTAAACTAAACAATGAATAGATTGTAACAAAAACAAAGACAGTATTAGAGAACATTTATTATAGAATAAAGCAGAGATATAATAATTAAAAACATCAATAAATTTAAACCCTCTGACAGTTAAATGAGGGCTTTTGGCAGCTGTGGTACACTGGGTTAGGAGAGTTGTCCTGTGGGTTCAGTTTGTGTGTCTTTGGGCAAGGCACTTCACCTGCTTTCTGGTGGTGTCAGAGGGTCTGATGGTGTCAGAGGGTCTGATGGTGTCAGAGGGTCTGATGGTGTCAGAGGGTCGGGTGGTGTCAGAGGGTCTGATGGTGTCA